AAAAAAAAAAAAAAAAAAAAGAAGGAAGAGAGCTTAAATAAATGTGAAAGAGAAAATTGTATTTTTCAAAGTTCTATAATTAATAGGTGATGAAAATATTTTTAAAAGTGTATATTTAATGTTTTTTTAACTTGGGTAATGTTGAATAGGCTAGACAATAATCCTATAGTACCTTTTAAACAAAGATTAATAAAGAAATATTTATATATCTAGATTATCAATAAAGTATACTATTGATGCTATTAATAAAGTGATACATTTTTTTTTTATATATATACTTTTGTTGACAGTTCTACCTTTGTAAACTTTAAATCACTTTTTTATTTTATTTTTATTATATTATCTGATTAATTATTATTTTTATATTTAACTTCAATTACTTTTTAATTTTATTTTCACTTTTATAGCAAAATACATGAACGCAAAAAATATTTTTATATGCTAATAATTATAAAAGATGATATTGTATCAATATAAGTATCATATCTATGATTTGTATGTAGAATGAGAAGAACAATAAAATACAATATTAATATTGGAGAAAAAGTAATATAACTTTTAATATATATATATATATATATATAAATTAAAAAATAGATTATCAAAAAAAAAAATTAAATTAATAACCATGTCTTCCAAACAACGATTATAAGAGAAGAATATATATATATATATATATATGATTATTTTCTTCCCAGAAGGACATATCATTTTATCATCTTGTATTAATCATTATAACTGTGTTTTCAATTCTCATATTCATATTCTTATCTTCGTCCATTCAATATCTTACTCTACTCATGTTATCAACACTGTTTATACTTTGTAAATCTTTGTATTATTTGTTTGTTTTTGTTCTTAATTCTGAAAACTGTTCTTAGTTTTCAAGAGACTTGTCCATTTTTGATCTTCTTTGGGGGGAAGTAGAAGCCATACCTTCTTGTGTTGGTGGTCCTGGTAGTAAGTCCTAGGGGATTAGGCAGTGAAACTGTTGGTCAGCCATGGAAAGGAGAAAAGTCTTTACCACCTTCAAAGAACCATTAAAAATGTCCAAAATCTTTGAAACTATTGGCAGTCTAGGAACCAAGAACAAAAATAAGCAAATAATTATGAGAACACCAAGTATAGATAGTGAAGCCTCATCATCGAATCAATTAGATCAAGAACTCAAAATAGCAAAAATAGAAAACTCATTACACGATTGGTCAATACCAATAGTTAAAAAGTGTGAAGTATATAAACAACATAGTATATGGTCAACAAGTCAAGATGAAATCCATACTCTAGAATATAGTTATCCAGGAACAAAAACCAACAAAATTGTTAATTTATTAGATGAACACATTAGAAGAGGATATAATTTCATGCATTTGGGATTAATTCAAGTAGCTGTTAAACCTAATTATAGATTAGGTATAAACAGTCCAATATTATTATTATTAAGAGATATTAGAATGAAACAATTTCAAGATTCTATCATTGCAATATTAGAAAGCAACCTACATGATGGCCCAGCCTTTTTTAATTGTTATCCAAAATTTTCAATGGATATTAAAAATGAAAAAACAAGTAAATCATTAAAATTATATGTTAAAATTCCTGATGAAATATTAGATGAAGAATCTGGTCTAATACAAGTTATTGTTAGAATATATTATAAAATTAAAAAAATTGATTATAATTATAAAGCACTTAGGTCTTCACCTAAGAATGAAACTGTATTAGTTGAGGCAAATCTTAAAAAATATTCAATACAAGTACCTAGACGTCTTAGTCACGTCGAAGTAGTTTCAAAAATTCCAGAAGATTGGTTATTAGAAGACATCATAGAAGAACCAAAAATTTACAATACTCAAATTAGAGAAATTATTCAAGATGGTACAGATATTAGGTTAAGATTAAATAGATCAACATCTTTAAAAAAAATTTACCACAAATGATTTTTAAGGGTAATAGTGCGAGACATTCAGTTGATGGATCCACTATCAATATAGATTTAACTAAATTAGAT